GGGGGGGGGGGGGGGGGCGCGCAAAGGACAGCATAACCTATAAATTGTATTTTTTAATCTGTATAATATCTCCTCTGTAGATTTACTTTAAATGCTTTACTTTTTCCATCTGACAGTTCAGAGAAACAAAGTACCATGATTTTGACTCCAATTTTAAAAAAATCACAATGAAGTCAAAGGTGAACTCTGAATGGCAAAAACATTTCTTAAGGCTTTATTGATGACTGCATTCTACAGCTTTCCATATCTGTGAAGAAAAGGATGGGTTAAAAAATATATTAAAATATATATATAAATGAGTGCCTTTTCATAGGACATGAAAGGTATCTTACAGAGACTGCTTAGAAATTTTTCACATCAGTAATTCTTCACTAGGATATTCATCCTGTAAAATACTGCATTGGGCTGACATTATTTGTATGCTGCATTTAAAAAAAAAAAAAAATCAACCTACATCATTTATGTCAGTTTTCAGACAGCAAAACAATTTTGCCTGCATATTTTTTAATTTTTCAAATTAATGCCCCTGATAATTGCACATTTTTTCTTCACCTGAAGGTGGACCACACAAACCGTATTATGCTATTTAGCCAGTCACCAATCAAATTCAATGTCCTAATGATTACAAGTTAAGCAAAATATGTTTGCATTGAGGTGACCGGTAGCTTAGTAACAGTGTACATCCACAAGACTGCTTCTATTCTATCTTTTCTTTTTAAAGCAAACTTTAGACTGCGTCTCATCAATCAATATAGCTCATGCCCAGCACAAGCTCAAACAACTGCAGCAGCACACTAAAAACAGGGTAGCAAAGCGCAGCATAGGGCTGGAATCTTTGACCAGTTCTTCCACTGGTATGCCCACAACTGAGGTCTAAGCAATTTTACATATAATCAATCTCCTACCATCTCGAGTGATGCATGCACAGATAAGCTAAAAGGATTTTCACCACTTCTTCGCAAGTTAATTTGAAGCAGTTTCAGAGGGCATTCCTCCCTCTAATTCCACCTCCTTATGAATTACTCCAATATCCAAAAGTAAGCTTCCACAACCAAGCAGTCTGTCTGGATAACCTTTCAGATTGAAGCAAGATGTGAATTGTAAGAGAATCTGCTTTTCTCACAGCATTGTAAAATTCATGTTGGCCAGAAAAACTAGAGTGAGATTTAAACACAGTAACAGCTAAGTCACCTGCAAATACCCACTTGCAACTGGTGCTCAGTACACATACAGTTTAGAAGTAATCATTTGGGAAAAATTTATAATACAGGCCACAGATATAACAATCATCAGTGTTGTAGTACAGGACAAAGTAAGTTTCATGCATATAAAAATCATTTTTATTTATGGAAAGAGACTGACAGTTCAATAGTTTGAATCATGTGTTAAGGTGAAGCCATAGCTGAAGACACAGCAGCCAGCATTCCTTCCTTCGACTGCAGTTCATCTTGCACTAGTCTGACAATTTACCAAGCACCCCCTTCTCATTTTGTCCCATCTCTTAATTCTCCTCTTCATCTGAGTCTCTACCCTTTACATGCCCATATCTCCCAATTTGGTTAAGAAAATCTAAGGTTGTATAGCTTTTTGAACTTCTGATCCCCTAAACCCCAACTCAGTACTCTTTTTCCCCCATTTTGAACTTTTCTAAATTAATACTGATGTCTAGCCTATCCAAACACACTGAAATTAACAAAACAGGATATGGAAACAGGACTAAAGGCCAGTTCCCCACCTGGAGGTACTTTCCTCCTATCGATTCATTGACATTTCAGTGATACATTTATTAAAAGACAGGAAAAGAGGCAGACAACAATACATTTATTGAGGATTTTAAACTGAAAAAAAAAGAATAAACACACATTTCAGATCCATCTTTAAAAATTCAATGACACAATTACCCTCAAAATAAAATTATATATTGTATAAATTAGCATTATCACTCATGACTATGAAAATGCTATCTGAATTGCATTCTTATTTGGAAGATAAAACCAAATTTTTCCGCAACACATACTTGCTGTTAGCTATTTCCCCAAGTGTATCAAACAGGAAATGTTGCAAGCTATTCAATTTGTGAGCTAGAGCAACTACTAAACCTACTTTTAAAAAGTTAATTTAGTAATAGATAAATCAACAACGTGAAATACCCACTATTACTTATTTCTGACTAACTTACAGCAGTAAGAGAAAGAAGAAATCTTTCTGAAGTATTAGATGTTTCAGTCACATAGGTAAACAAACAGAATGCATAATACATATACTTACAGTACTATGAAATACAACACTGTGGCCTTTTCCTAAACTTTCTATATGTGCTGAGAGGTTAAAGCAGATGGCTCGATGTCTTATAGCATCCAGTGTTTGTGCATCAAAGAAGTCATGAGGTCTTGCTAGAAAAAAAGGAAAGGAGACCCTTAAGTGTTCAACACACTGAAAGCATTTGAACACACTGAAGCATGTAAATAAGTCTGAAGTGTTATTTGTAAATCATTTATCATTATGGTAGTAGCACCATCTTGTCAAAGAGCTGTAAATATTAATTTAACTGAGGAAGAAATAACTCCGAGGGGCACAATTCATTTAAGTTTGGTTAAAACGTACTCCTTGTAGATGAAATAGCTATCTTGACAAACTGCACTACACTTGCTCTTTTTTTTTTTCTTAAGTTCCAAGTGAATTCTACTCTTTCTTAATCTTCAAAATTAAGAATGTATTAATTTTACTGAGTTCCTCTAGGAACATCCATTGCTATCATCTCTAAAAAAAAAAAAAGGTCCCAGTACAAAGAAACTAAACCCAGAATTCATTAATAAATGTGAGTTGTAATTTAATGCAAAAACAGCCTAGTTAGGTTGAGAAGTTTATGGGAATGTAAGTGGCCAAGTCACGCCCACATCACAGTCAATAGTTTCAATATTACTGCTGTAACTTTTAAAGATAGTATTATAGTACTTTAAAACATGACAGTGCATGTAATTGACATCTTAAAATCAGAATTATACCTATACCTTATCTCATAACTTTATTAAATCAATCTGCTCTAATACATAATCACTAAAAACCCCAGCTATTTCCAGTGAATACTGGGATGATGCAGACAGATCAACAATGACACTGATAACAAAACTACTGTGGAACTGTGTACTAAAAAGGAACACAAAGCAAAAGATTAGGTAAGAATTATTGTAAACATACAGAAAATCCTAGCTTGTCAAGAAATTTTTGGTATCCAAAGAGTAATAATGTTGAACAGTCACATCAAAAACTCCACACTTCTAGGTATGTTTCTATGTACAAGTTGACATTATTAGTACACAGATTATTTTCCAGTCAAGAAGCACCAACTGCAGCACATACTACACTTCAATTTATAATAAGTAAAATGCAGTTAACGTCCATCTGATCTTTTAAAAGTAGCTGAAAACCAGCAGGCACTAATAAAGCCCTTTTCCTTTTAGAAAAGGACTTTTATAGTTAAGTGTTTCTTGAACAGTAAAAAATTATTGAATTCAGATTTGGAGTCTATCAATTTTACACTAAAAGTACTTTAGCTAAAAAAAATAGGTGCTACTAGACACATATTTTCATACTGTTAGAAACTTTTCACACAAATTTTTAAAAATATGACACAATACACTAGTAAAATTACGTGAGCAAATAAAGTATGAAAGTATTCAATTTTGTTAAGCCTTATTTGAGAGCAGTAATTCTCTACATAACACACTGAAATTAAAACTAAGAATAGTTGATATTACATTATCAACTATATATCAACCTGTAATCTGCAAAAACAGTGAGTCAAAGTTTTGTTGTCTTCATTTGAAATAACTCCTATATTCCTTTTCATCAAGCTTATCTATCTGTTATTTCAAAACAAACTACAAATTCCACATAAAGCCAGTATTTGCTACACTCTTGGGACTAAATGTTTTTAAGCATTCATCTGTACATTATGTTCTGTCCTTACTCCATCTCAGTTGGATACTGCCAACTAGGCAATCATCTCACTGGCTGTTTTCTTGCTGTAAGTGGTAACATAGAACCAGAGCTCATGCTGCAGGTGGTCAATGATGCAAGCATGTAACTATTTTATAAATAAATATAAGGGAGAAAGGAAGGGAGTGCAGAGAAGACAGCCTCAAATTTTTGCTTTTGGTTTCATAACAGCTAATTTCTTCAGGATTTACCACTGGATAACAGTCAGATGCAGAAGAAAGGGCACAATTTGTCAAAGGTATATGAATAGTTTTATTTATTCCTTATTGAGTGTTAATGCTGTATCTTCCATGTATCTTAAATCTATTCCCTCAAAATTATTTTCAGAGTAAGGTATCTCTTTTCCTGCTTAATACAAATTCCAAGTACGTATCAATTATGTCAAATAAATTAAATTCTTCATACCAGTAACCTACTAAATGAAATTCCAAGACTTACATAATTAACAGTCTTACTGTAAATTCCATGAACAGTAAGTTTCCTTATCTCACCTACATTTCTCCAATGAACTTTATCATCATGCTTGTTAATAACTATAAAGTCATCTTTTCTATTGAAAAAGCAAGTGACAATATTGTAAATATAATCTTAGGTTCTGAAAAACTGCTTGGGATAGCTCCAAAATAGCAATATTATGACCTTTTTTAGAGACACACACTTTCGATATGTTTGGCTCTATGCCTCTAAAAGACTACATGGAGCAGTGAACATATATAAAGGTACTCAGAAGAGAAAACTACTGACAGTAATCCTGAATTATTCTGCCACATCAAAATTTATATGACAAATCAATCTCTATAGTACCACTAAAGCATAAACATGCTTTCATGATAAAAGTACTAATTTCCAAACTTAAAATAACACATACTGTTTATAGACAGGAAAAAAGAAATGCAAAACAGTTTGACAAGATGTTATGAAAGAAAAAAAATGTAACAGTAAGAACTCTCTTTGTAGTCTAAGTTAGAAGATCATGTTCTCACCACATATAAAGCCACACTTGACATCTCTTTTATTTACGCATTAATGCCTCTCAGAAGTGTGTTAATCTTCAGATATAAACCAGAGGAAGCAAATTTATTGATCTGCTGTATTTAAATTATTAAGAACTTATCCATGAGGATGCTTCAGGACCAGCATGTATTAGCAATCAATTGTCAATAAATATTTAGTAAGCCACTTACACCTTGCAAAAACAGCCAGGGTCTAATCAAGCCATGAGGAGGTAGAAAGAACATGTTGACAACACTATTTCAGAAAAAAAAAAAAAAATTTCTGATGCAAAACTAATTTTTCATCAAAATATTATTTGTGAGTGATTTAAACAGACTGTACACTATCAAACAGCATCTTGCTTTACACCCATTTGTCATAACTTCTTATAACCCAACTTGCAGACAACCTGGTACTTATGTTCAACATCTCTCCTTCTGGACACTTTTAAAACATGTAACTATGACTCTGTGTTCCTAGCTTTCCATAGTCCGGACTAAAAGTACTTAAATGCTGCTATTTTGTTACTTTGGCTTCTTAGATAAGGTTTCTTGCCCTCTCCAATTCTTCTTGTAAAGAGAAAACATATAAAATTGCACACTTCATTCTTTAACTAGAAGTAAAACTAAGCTAAGAAAGAGAAGCAAAATTGTATCTGCCCTTTGTCAAATTCACTCTATCAACAATAATCCACACAAAGTTTTAAAGATAAGCTACCAATACTTAGCATTTTCAGAAAATGCCAACAGCTTTGGATACATTTCTAGGTCATATACACTCTGGAGAAATACATTACAGCAGTCGGTTGCCAACTCAGAGATGATTTTTGCCTTAAGGTAAAACTCTACAGCCAGCATTGCAAGAAGAGGCAAGAAGATAAAAAATTGCTTAAGAATCTGTCATTTTTCTTCCTGTGCAACACTTGACCAAGACAGCAGACCATTCAATATTACAGACTGGTCTTTAACATCCCCACAGTATTTACTACTTACATTTTTTGCCATATGTTCATTCAAGAGTTCTGCAGTAAATTCTTATTACGATTAGAGCATCCTAGCAGATAATTTGAGGTTTTAACTATGAAACTCTGATTTGAAACTTATAAGACAATTATGTTCAACAATTACTGATAAACTGCCAACCTGAAAAACCACTTCTGCATATACTGGGGGGGAAAAACTGAATTAAGAAGCATTAAATCAGCCACCTAACAAATTCAAGATGAAACTTGGGAATCTGAAAGTGAAAATTTTCAAGTGATCAGTCTTAGACTTCTATATGTTAAGTAACACGGTGAATAAATCAAGATAAACCTTTAGCAGTCTGCAACAGTTTCAAGTAATTCTCTTTTATTACATCTAAGATGAACTAAAAGGGACACTGCAAAGTGACCACATAACCCCTCCTTGATCAGTCTTCCCTTCTTGAACTTTCACTAGAGTGAAAGGGAAAGCTCTTTGAAAGTTAAAATTCTGAAAAGAACAGAAATAGCTTTCTACCTCCTTTGAATGTTGAATAAGTGTCAAAATCAGAGGAATTCTTCAAGTTCACACTTTTAAGATGTGTTTAATGATATAATTTGCTCACATATTTTAAGAATACCACAGTATTAAAAAAAATTTTTTTAAAGGCTAAAGAAAAATCACCATAACTGAAGTTAACAATGGCTCTTCTAGCACTGAACTGCACAGTTGTCACACAGTGTGGAAGACACATGCAGGAAATAAACTTTTCAGGATCCTAGCTGATACTGTAACTTTCCAGGACAGGCTTCTTTGCATTCAAGGCAGAAACATGATCACGGCTTCATAAATACCAGTTGCTTAACAGATAGGTGAGGTATTAAGAATAATAGCAATCATGTGATACAGAGTAATCATTTAAGACCACTGGTACTGCATCTATTGTTGTAACACTGCTTAAGTAATTGGTAACTGTGTTTCTTCAAGAACAGCTAAGTGTTCTGCCACAGGAGAGTTCCGGAACAGTAACACTGTAATTGCTAACCTGGACAAGTAACACCAGTTCTCTGGGGTATCATCACTAAAATCCTACTGCCAGCCAGGAAACAGAACTGAAATAATTGCCTGCTATGAACAGAGCTCACTTCTGTGTACAGTATAACAGGTACAGTGGTTCATAAAAAAAGGTTACCTTACTATTCTCTCCAGTACTGTAAGGTTGACTTTACACCACAGGTAAAAATTAAAGTTCCTGGTATGTCAACAATTGAAGAAAAAAATCTGAAGAAAAAATCTGAATAGGTTTTTACATGCCTCTACTCCAAAATGCAACTGTCACAGTAACAGTTTAAAATTAGTAAATAATTAATTCAGTACTGGAGAGTTGTATCCAAAGCAATTACAAAACAAAGATAAAATTTTTTAACAATTGCCTAGTCTTTCCTAACTGTTTCTCTAGATTGGAATCTCTAAATAAATTTGACATGGTTACTAGTCTGATGCTAGGACAACTCAGGAATAAAACAACTGGATCAAAAGTGGACTAGAAAAGGTACCAGATCAGTCATTACCACTTGCTAGAGGAAACAATTTTCACTTTAAAAGACAAATCACACTTCTCATTACAATCGTTCATATAAAAGTAATGAACATCAACTGTGGGGAGGAAGATTTTAAAAACGTAGCAAGTCAAGTCTGCCCCAAATTAGATCTTGGTTATATTCATAAAACTGTCATTAAGCTAAATAAGTGTTATGCTCAAAAGAGAGCTTATATAATATGCATTTATCTCTAATTTATATGAATCTGCAATCTCTGTCTGAAGTACTGAACTTCAAATCTCATCATTACTGAAAAGAACATTTTCGAACAGTAATATAGTTAGTAAACAAAAAGTGACTCCAAAAGAGCAACATCTTCAAATTGTAAATGCAAACTGCTGCTCACAGAAAAGTGGTGTTTGCTACTGAACACATAGATGCTGTACCCTAAAAAGGAACACTAGCAGAACCTGGAATTGTTTTCTTCCCATCACAAAGGATACCAAAACTATAATGCTAGAAATCACCAACCTTATCAGATCCACATCTGCAGAGAAACAACCACACTGAAGAGGAACATCCTACCTAAGATGAAACTTCTACTTCTGGAAATACTTACGTAATGATCGTCGTCTCTTGTTCTTCAACTTTCTTCTTTTATTCATTCCAGCTTTAGATGGAGATTCCTCTTTGGCCTTTGGCTGGCTGGCAACTTTTGATGAGTTCTGCTGGCTGAAGTGTGTGGGTACATGACGGGCAAGTCCTCCCTGAGATGCAAAGCTGGCATTGCACCCACCAACTACACACTAGTGAGAAAAAACAAAAGAAAACAGAACTGTATCAACATGTTATATGGTACTCATTCATGGGAATTTGACAGATATTTCAGTTTAATTTTTATGGCTCAACCGCCAACACACTAAAAGGAAGACAAATTTTTAATGACCATGAAATTTCTAAACCCAGAAATATAATCTGAAATAAATTTCTATCTGAACTTTATAACTCTCAATAATTATTCCATGGTATAATAATTTTTCCTATAATATTCTACTGCATATAACCAACCTCAAACAATGGACCAACAAACTTGTCTGTGAAGGGGAGAGTTCTTCAAAGCATTTATTTTCTGTGGGACATCTCCTTGTCTTTCAAAATACTGCACTATTATTCTGTATGCCTCAACAGCTCTCCAATCTTCTCCATTTGATAACAGTAATGTTCTCTAACATCCTCCCTTCTTCTGACAAGGCAGAAGTAAAAAAAAAACAAAACATCCTTACCCACACTGAATTTCAAATACCTTAACACTTTTTGTAAATGTTACACAAAGTCAATAAAGTTATCTTACAGTTCCAAAGCTTTAACTTCAGTAACTTAAGTCGTATTAACAGTTATTTATACATTTATTTTGAGATGCTATTACTACTTCAGAAGTATTTAAGAAAGTTCTTTAAGAAAATGGACTTTCTCAAACAGAAAAATAAGAAAAGATCGAATAATTAAGCAGAAACACAGAAATCACAAGATATGTGCAACTAAGCTAGTACTGGATACAATCATTATCGGTATTTTTTAAGTATTTGGTTTATATTTACAACTACTTCATTTGCAAAACGAGTACTTAAATTATACTGTTGGAGAGGAGGCACAAACTCCTCTTGTGCTCTGAGCTTACAAGGGTAACAGAAAAATGATTTTAAGATATACATTCCATCATTGGCTGCAATGAATTGTGTGTCCACACAATCAATTTTTCTTCTGATCCAGGGAACAGTAGTAGGGCAAACGATCTGCCAGTAGCAAAAAACCCATCACCCTCTAAACCATTGGGTATTTCTTCTTCCATATCTGTTCTGCTCGTCCCCCTTCTCCTCTTTCTCAGCTCTTTCATCTGTACCTCTCCTCTCTAGCACTTCCCTTCACAGCAAACTGATGAGGCAGCTCCAAAAGAAATCTGGGAATAACTAGTATTTCAACTATGTATGTAGTGGTTGTTTTCTCTGAAGACTAAGGATGAATTTGCAAGCTCTTACAGTAATCTCCCCTAAGCCTGCACACGACTGAAATACAAGAAAACAGCAGTGTAACACCACCAGCATATTTACACCACCAGCATATTTTGTCCCTAAAACCCAAGTGTGCTGCTTTCCAACTGGGGCTGCAAAATTGAAAAGTCTATTTCTGCCTCAAACCTAGCAAATGGTTTTCCGTGATCATCACAGAACAATATAGGGTCCATGAAGAGAAAAACCTGTTATCCCCAAGGACTTAATTCTTGGTATAGGACTAAAAACTTGGATATATATTTCAAGACAGTAAAATTCAAAAAACAGAAGGACATTTTTCATATTTTTTGGTTGGTTGGTTGGTTTTTTAGAAAAAAGGGGTGAAAAAAACACCTTAAGAGCAAGTTAGGAAAATTTTTTGAAGTACTGACCTAACTACAAACATTTAATTCCCTGACAAGAACTTCTAAGCTCCTTCACACTGTATTTGTTCTTCCCTGCCTCCCTCACTAAAAAGTACCTTAAAAACTGTGAAGATTTTTACCAAAAAACCTACCTACGTGTTTTCACTTTGCCCTGTAATTTCCCATGTTCAAACAATAGCAGTACTGCATACTTGCACTGTAGTGATTTACAATATAAGAAATGCCAGCACATCTATGAAATCTGAAGCACTCAAGATACTAATCTTATTTACACTACAGTAACCTCAATGCAGTATTTATTAATTCAAATTAATATTGTAGATTAAAATTTACACTTAATCATAGAATGGTTTGGGTTCAAAGTCATCCAGTTCCAACCTCCCTACTGTGTGTACAGACATCATCTACTAGATTAAGGTGCTCAAAGCCCCATCCAACCTGATCTTGAACCTGATCCATTTAGTTTTGTTAAAGATGATCAAAAACTCACAATCAACAGATACAAGTAAAATACATGCATGCATTAGTTATAACATTTTTTTACTCTCCAGCTTTTAAGTCCTTGAAATAACTGTCTTGCCCATAAAAAGTTTCACGCAACTAAACTAAGCAACTAAATCTAAACTTAGGTTTAACTTTCATTAAGGTGTTCCTGACTTCAGCTTCTAGCTCTTTCTGATCCTACAAACACTGAGAAGAAAAAAATGAGCACAAAAACCCCTCCCCATACTCTGAAGTTCAGTCACACTGAGAAACTAAACATTCTGTCTTGCCAATGCCTGCTAGAGGTCAAAAATAACCTAAAGTCTTGGTACAGTACATGCACCACCACATTCCAAGTATATTAAAGCATAATATCAAAAGGCAGTATCTTCTGAAAATAACAGATAAACTTTGTGTCAAGCACACTTCCAAAACTTTTAAAAAACATAAATTCATAAGACTTAATTGTATTTCTTGTCAGATGGGAAATATTGTTTTTTGACAAACTGCAGTTTGACTCTCAATGTTGTAACATGACTTTTGTCTAGTTGTGTACAAAGGAAACAATCAGATATTCTACTATAGGATTATCTATGGAAGCTACCACTTACTTTGCTTGCTCTACCCAAGTTTTACTTTCAAAAGCCCCAAACCAGAATCCTTAGATCTTCAATATATGCAACTTGCAACTAGAAATTGTTTTTTTCCAGTAAGCCTATTTATAGTTTGCAGTCACTGTATGAAATATTTGCAGAACACATTACATTCAGATATTGTGTCATTTGAGACTACCTGATCATGTCATCAAATAATCAACAGATGATATATCAAAGATGACAAAGAACACCTTTGTAGTAGACAGGAAATAGAAGAGGAGAAAAATCTTACCTGTTCTTTTCTTTTTTTTTCTCTAAAATAATATATCCAGCAATCCGTTACTAATGGGCAAAGTCTCTTCTCTCCAAAGATAAAAGGAGCAGTTCAGGCTGTCACTTCAGGATCTCTGGACGGTAAGTCACACCAAATCAGCTTCCCACCAGATAATTATACAGATCTAGAGGGCTTCTAATAAATCAAACTCAACTATTACGCACAACTTTAAACCAATTTTTATTTTTCCCCACAAACCTAAGTCTCAAAATTTTGCATCCAATTTTAAATGATCGATTGGGTCCGGATTGGTGGATATGTTACTTCAAGAGAAAATAAGTCAACACATAAGTTTAATTTCTCCAGTGTACCCATACCCACCATTATTAATGGGCAGTAATCATCAGTGACTTTAACAAACAGGATATAAAAACATCTAGCAATACAGGGGTTTTTTTCTAAGTTCAAAATAACCAAATCTCTCTCTTTTTTTTTTTTTAATATTCAATGTGTAATTTTTCCAATAAATCTAACAGTAGCATTTTAGACATCTGGATAAACCTTCCTATTGTCTCAACATCTAAGTGTTCAGGCAGAACTCCTTTATGTTTTCTATTTGCATTTGCAGTACTCTAATGGGTAGAAGATAATCTGCCAGTACCATAACAGACATGAATTCTGAATGAGGACTGAAGCTGCTTGGCTGTGTTTTCCATATTTCAAGAAGTGTTACTCTACTGAGAGTCATACCAAATACAGTAATCCCTAATGAATTCTAGAGTTACAGGTGGCAGAACGAGCACTAAACTTCTTTTTTATTATTACTTTCTTCCCCCCTTTTAAACAAAGTATGAAAACCTCCAGTGAACCTGGTTTTGTTATTGAAAGCATTCACTCCACATGAGCAAACCTTTCATCTTAAACATTAAGAGCATGCCCACTGGAATCAGTATGGGAAAGCAGTTGGGTAGCATACCCACATGGAATCTTATATTTACAGATGATTGCTACATGCAATTATTTTGCATAAAATCTCCCACTGTTTTGTACTCACTCTACCATTTGTCCTTTTGTTCCTAACATTTTGTATTGGGTCACCTAGACTACATTTTAAGAGTTCATTTGATATGTCTTTGAGTAACTGTCAATGCCTTGTACAGCAATAAGACATGGTGAGCAAGTACTTGGATTTTTTTTTTTTTTTTTTTGTAACAGAAACCATGCTGGAAAAATGCAGGTTGTCACAGCACATTAACTATTCCAATACTTATTATTTGTAACAGCTGAGTTTAGGACAAGTAAGATAGTATTTCTTCATTAACTTTTTCTCAGCTTGCCAAAGACAGTCACCAGCATCAGTTTTCTAACTCAGCAAATTATTCCTCTAGATCCACCTGTCTACAGGTTCTGAAAGCCTAGAAGTTTTAAGTTGCTGAACCCTTGACAGGACCACCACTGTGATGATACTCCACAACATACCACCGGTTTCTAAAAAGCTGCAAAAATGATGTAATAACAGAACTAAAAAATAATAATGTTTATGATTTTACATTCAGAGTTGAGAGAGAAAAGCCTACACAAACATTCTAAATGTCTCCAGAGAAACATAATTACATGCTCTTAGTATACCTATATTAAATGAATGTCTACAATGACATTAAAAAAAAAAAAAAAAGAAGAAAGGATGGCTAGACTCTTAACTGCAATAAAATAAGCAAAGAAAACTTCTAACAGCACAAGAGAAGTGAACTTCGGGTATTAAGAGGAGCAGCATAACTTCAAAAATACCTAACAGTGGCCCAAAGAAGGCTGGTTTTCAACTGGAACCATGTTCCATAAGTCCAGTTTGTTAATTTGCTCCTCTTGAGAAGAAAAACAAATCTGGGAAACAGTGCTTATCAAAAGAAGGACTGGAAAAGTATGCTGCTTTGCAGAAATCATGTTTTGACTACAGACTGAGAACCAGCTGTAGCGGTAACTGTCTCATGTAATGGACACTTTTTCTTTGGTGGAGAGACTGGTGGGTGCTCTAGGAAAAGACACTTTTTAGTGATGACGGCCTCAAAAAAAACAAGAAAAAAATCCATCCATGTGTTCCACATGAAACCCAAGACCATCAGTAGTAAAAACTTAGAAAAAAGGGAGCGAATAAACAAAAAACCAATATGATGTCTAAAAGGGAACTGAAGTCCTAAATTCTGCCCCAAAATCCACGCACCATTTTTTTTCCCCCCCCTCCCTAGTTCAGATGACTCAGATATAAAATATATTCTTTTTATGAGCTGAACATACACTACGAGGAAATAGCCCCATATAAAAATGGAGTTAGCATAAAAAAAAGGTCTCAAAAATAGGTATTCATAAGGAAATTTAGCTTTTCTGTGACACAGGTATTGCAGTATTAATGCTGAGTGGGATACACTAAACCACACAAATGGAAAAAAAACAGGAAAAATGTATGAAATTATGAAATAATTTGCCTTTGTAGTTTATAAGCATGTTCACTTCTGCTACAAATGAACCACACAGTCACATAATTTATGGAAGGGGCAGGTAAATCCACAAAGACCTTTTAATATGAAAGCACAGCAGCTCATTTACAGCTGGATACAGCTTTTAATCAAAAGACAATACCATGTGTATCACAAAAACAGATAACTAAACCCAAAATAGGCAACTACATAAAATGAGTCCACTTGCAAGCAAAAGGGTGACAGGACAGGGACATATCCTTCAACAGAGTAGTTCTAATGCAAAGAAGAGCTTTATACCTGAGACAGTCCACAACTGCCTTTCAATTTAAGAAAATACTTTCTCATATTTTGACTAGAAATATAAGAATATAGTAGCCTACCATGTATTTATTACTCTCCTCTGATCATTATACAATTATAGTGTTCTTTTACCTTTACAAAAGTAAATTTTCCATGCTTTTAATTGTCACTTTCCTAGCTAACATTCTTTGCTTTTCTTAAAAGCATCCTGAACAGCAGTTCAGATGGCATCAGTCAGCTATACTATTTCCATTACTGCCTTTTACAGCTTTCCTCAAAAAGCCTGACATTCATTTATTTTTTAAATAAAACACTGAATGACTAGATATTTTCAGCAAGTTCTCTAGAATGAAAGATTCCTTCCCTTTATGTTAGAACTCAAGCATATACTCATGAGGCAACAGAAATTTCATTTGTAATTTAGGTTTTGGGAGATATTTTGTCTGCAGTAATCAAGTACAAGAGGTCCTTAATCCAACTCTGACTTGAAAAAAATCTGGCTTTTCCTAAAAGGTGAGCACAATTAAGATTTATAAGAACAGCTAAATGCACCAAGCAGAAACATTTGGTCTGGTTTTAAATGACTGCCATAAAACAATTAGTAATGGTTGTTCTTAGACCAATCAAGACTAATATCCAACACTAGGTGGTTTTGTATGAGACAGTAGATTTCAAAAGGTTGTAAAAGAGAAGGAGCAAGCAAGGAAAGGGGGTTAGTTAATTAATAGGTTGCTATCACAGACACTTACATACTTGGCTACCTCATGTGAGCCCTGAAGCCTATATTCAGCATAAATGACAGGGGAACAAAATATGTTACAAAATTCTACTCAGACCACAATTATGCTCCATTCAAAGACCCCAGGAACAGATTGATAAATACAGAGATAAAAAACAAACAGAGGGACTAAAGACAACAGTAAGAAAAAATGCTGAAGTGACACACATTGAGCCATGATGATTAACTACTGCAGTCCTAGCCTGTGTTGTTTACCTTAGTATGACCAGAAAGCACAGAAAATCAGCTGGTGAGGTAACACCCATTTAACACAAAATTATTATAATCAGAACTAATTATTTTAAATTTTAGGGATCCAGCTGTAACCAGCCAAAAAAAATGGGATACCAACTTACACTGACTTCACTAGGTAACTCTGTCAGACTCAAAAGTACTACTGGTATTTCTGAGCTATGCTCACCTCTTTTAAACCCAACATCTCTAAAATTGAGTTACTTTGATCTAGACCAAGTAAGTAGACAAATTACCCTACTGAAAAGGCTTTCCTTCAAGATCAAAGCTTGCTATTATATTTTAGGATATATTTATGATGTATTTTAAGATATATTTAATTCCAAAATGAGAAGACATAAGGTACAAGTTTCCTCTGATGACTAGGTTTGGGGTTTTTTTTATTCAGTGATTAGTAGTTAAGATTAGATTAATTGCTGGAACAATCATATCTGCAAATTTTCAGGGATCTAGGATGCTTACATTATGCTTCCAAGAGCATGCTAACCTTATTCCTTCAAACAGAGAGTATGATAACCTCAACAGCAAGCTTCCTGTTGTTATTCACTCAGAAATTTTCACACTAAACTACACAGTTCAGTATGGAAGAAGAGTCTAACCTTTATTAAAACACTTTTTCACATGCAAATGCACTATTTTTACTCTACTCTCTAGGTTTTGCGTTTAGTTTTGTTTTCTGTCATAAGTACTGTTATAGGCTATACAGAAGTAGTTACTTCTGGAAGACATTACTATAACAGAAAAGTATTTCTTAGTAATAAAGCTGCCTTAAAACAACAAGAAAAAAACAAACAAAAAAGAAAAAAAAAGAAAATAATTGATATTACCTGCAAAGAAAGAGAGCAGAGGGAAGTGGAGAAATAGTGACTAAAACCTGGTGAGGTTGGAGGGTGTGGAGAAGAAGACACAAAATACTACCTAAACTTAAAAGCAAACCCTAATTCATTTTTATATCCTACATGGAAGGAGAACTTCAGTCTGAAGTAGTGTGGGTGGGACTTACCATCAAGTGATCCAGGACTGACAGCTATGAACTGCCCCAACTGTATCCATAAGAGGATGAAGCAACTCATTAATAACGGATTGGTGGATATAGGAATGATAAACACTACTATACCTAGAATTGCAGGTACAGATTAGGGGGAGAAAGAAAGAGAAAGTTAGAAAATACTATGTAGGAAATACAGTCAGCTCAACGGTCCTGCATTCCTGACTTCCTTCTTATTCTCAGAGAGGTTAACCATAAACAGCCACTGACTGTGTTTCAACTGAATTTTGTTAACAAAAGCAGCTCTTACTCAAGCACAGAATGCGCACCATCAGGCATGACCCAAAGTTTAATGCCGAAGTGTAAAGCATGAGGCAAAACGTCTCTGTTACAGTGTCAGCAGCTCAACTGGAAAATACACAAAAAGCTTCAGCACTATTAGTTTTACACTTCCTACCATTTACAGACTGAAAGAAACAGGGACAGAGAAGCAATCTTGACCTGTTTTCATAACAGAACAGGACCTTTGGGCACTATTATTGCAAAGACGAAGGCTCACCTCACTGGATGCTTTTTAAGAAATCCTCCTGTGATGACATTTTAAAATGAATGTATTATATCAGGAAAAAATAAATAGGATCATTCTTAAATAAGGGATGACATATCTTACAATGAACCTTACCTTGAAAGGTTTGTCCCCACTGTGTGTCAGCATATGCCTCTGCAACCAACTTTGACTTGTTGAAGGTGTATTATATACTTTGCAACCTTTCCACAAGCAAACAAATACCTAATAGAGTAAAAATGTGGTAAGTTTACACAGGTCAAAGAAAACAGTAAAAAAAAAAAACCAGAATAGCAAAGAAGCCTGTTTTCACAATACAAAGAACCTGAAAGAATTTTGAACAACCACCACTCATTTTGCTACACTTCTCATATCTCACCAAGGAAAAGAAAATTACAGCCGGAAGTATTGAATAAAGCAGCCCACTGGAATAAAATATCAAAAAACTGATGCTCCTGCAAACAAACACAATCAAGAGCCACAGCATCCAGTGTAAAGTGTTTGTGTTTGCACTCATTATCTGTATCCACCAGATAAAGAACTTTTTACAAGTTCACATTTTGTGGGTAGTCGATATAGAAATAAAATCATTTACTCTCATAAGCAATTAATAACTTTATTCTTTGAGCATGAAAAAGTAAAAATTTAATTACAATATAGTTGTTTAGATACCAATTTTTATGTTATGGAATGCTGGATACCTCTAGTTAGGGTCTTATACTTAATTCCTGATGAAGAAAGTTACAATTTCTCATAGGATTAAAAATCTAGGGATGTTCTATGATTGCAGTGTACAGATCAGTCACATGCACAATACTCTATTAAGGGGAGTAGAACTTACTCGTGCTGCTTTTCTCTCTCCTCTCAATGTGTCTATCTATAACCGAGCAAGTAAAAAAGCTCAAGGAACTTGCCTTTCATTAGAATTTCCTCAATAGGTCTGTGTGTGAAGGAGGTATAGCCCTAATTTGTAGCAGCAAAATACAGTCCCCAGGAATAGCATTGTCCATAATACAGGTTTTCAGAACTGCAGGAAACTAACTGGATTTGAGTTTCTTATTCTGTTTTAGAGATTAAAAAAAAAAAAAAAAAAAAAAAAAAAAAATCAATCTTCAAAAGATTGTATTTTCAAAACAAAAGAGCAGCCACAGGAGTGCTGCGTACTTGCTGTACAATATATAAGTCAGCTTACTAATAAAAAGCTGGAAAACTCTGCATGTGTGTATGACTGAACCAGACACATAAAGCCCAACCCTCTGAACCTTTGGTGTCTGCTGCTCCGCAGTTTTGAGAGCCCCTGAAGCCACAGAATTAGAATTTCTGAGATTCCTGGATCTGCAACAGCTCCATAATTGTCCCAATAGTTCCATCAGCAACTGCAGACTGCAGGGCACTGAGCAAATGAATATTACTACACAGTTACAGATTGTAGAAATGCAATTCTGCCAAAAACCAAGCACTTGGTTTTACAACAACCCATCAGAAGTCCAGAGAAGGCTTCTTTGGAACTTGTCAAAAGGCTGAATCAAAAAATATTTCTGAAAAAACAGTTTTGGGAAGTAACACTACTTTGTCAGAAAGTTTCCTGGGCTCTTCATGAATCTATCTAGTTTAGTTTGGAGCCATTATCTCAGCATTAGCTTGAATATACATTTTACCATAAAAGGATGCTTATTGTATCGCTTTTAAGTTCTCAATAGGCAGTTACTACTCCTACTTTTCTTCAAATCTATGGTAATTGCAGTTAATATCTGAAATCCAATCAAAACCACAACATAATTTCTAACACCACTTAAACACCTCACCAGCAGGTGGCAGACAAATCCTTGAAACCAAACAGTCAAGATCAGTCCCCTTCTATAACATCAAGTTGAACTTCTCAAAAAAATAAACCAACTCCAGTAACAGGATAAAAAGCATGAACACTGCAACAGTTGTTAGACACTTGGTACTTCCAACCACCTCCTCTTTCAGAAAGACAAACAGTCAAACATTTTCTAAATAAAGATATACATAAATCATGTCACATGGAATGTAAGTGAACAGAAATACAATTTTTTAAAAAAAACAAGACTGGAAAATCTTCCAGTCCCTTTTTAAGAAAGGAAATGGGGTCATGGATGGTATAAGAAAGATCCTCAGAATGCAGTTATGTGAAAGCCCACAGGATACCAATATACCTCATTCATTTTATTGTTTCATACATAATTCATATAGTATTTCTATAAACCTATGAACTACAGAAATGGGTGTCTAAGAAACCAACTCACTGGATGGATGATTCTGCCTAGAGCTTGGACTGAAAAAAAGTCACCAAATATGAAGATGAAAGTTCAATCACAGCAAAAAACAGCTCAACACAACCAGAGTCACAGCTGCCTCACCGAGACAGCCATATAAATAAAATGCTACTTTGCCTTACTTGAAATAATGTCTTAATTATTATTAACTTATTAATAGACAAAGTGTAACGGCCTAACATTTTACTTCCAGAGAATGAGACAGGACCAAAAGTCAAAAGATAATGACTATTCTAAGTTAAGATTTGATATTAGCTCTCCAAGAAATTAAAGAGCTATGACATACAGCACCAAAAGCAGGCAGATTGCTTGTGTTCAATGTAAAGGTAGTTTACATGACATATTCCAGGCAGGTAATAATTAAAGGTAATAATATGGGGGTGGGGGGTGGGGGGTGTAGGTAGTTAAGTACAGAATTGAAATTACTGGATGATGTTTTGAAACATTAAAATTGTGAGACCAACAGAAATTTCATCATTTGACCAGAAATTATACTGAAATATACATGGTTATATATTCACTTCAATTAAAAAAAAACCCAACCTAGATGCAATCAAAGCATCAAAGGTATACTTGCCATCAGAACTACAGAGTGTGCTGTTTTGGTAAGACTTTGTACTGTCAAGTCAACGAGTTTTCTATCTTTCCTATTATACATTCTGTATATATTTGACATCTAATGAGATCCATTCATAAAAATAATCGAGATATGACTTCACCTGTGTTCACATGCAGTAACATGTACACTAATATTTTTTAAAAAATGAATTCCAAATATAAGCACTTAAAGACGTATCAACAGCTTCAGTATGTTGAGAAGGTAGCACATTATCAAAAACCTGATAGCCTCAAACTATTAATCAAAAGGAACTTAATACATTCTTAAAGTTAGGCATTCAATTAAAAACACAGAATACCAAATCAAGGGAACTATGCAAAAGACAACAGCTGAATGTCTAATAACAGACTGTTGAAGGCCCAAGCTTAGTTGCCACTAGTTATGAAAGTGATACTTTAAAACATAATTTGCTGCTGTCATTTAAGAGTAAAATACTGGCAACTAAGAACAGAAAAAGAACACAAAAAGTAACACCAACCCCTCCTCGTTGACCATCCACATGTATGGAGCGAATGTGATCTGCCAAGTCTGGGCTGGAGCTGAAGCAAGCATGGCAGTGGTCCCAACAACAGTTATAAGCAATGCTTTTTGCAGAGGAGGCAGTAACTCCTTGTCCATTCATCATAACTGGAGTTGAACGTCCACTGGAGATTGTGCTGTCTACATCCATAATAGTGCTGCTTATGCTGTAAGACAAAATAAAATTCATGTTTGTTGCATGCTAACAGAACAAATAAAAATTGTAGCTCTTTAGAATTTTGTTTCAGATATATTTACACAGGTTGAAAACAAAATCTTACACAAATTTACTATTAACTGTGGTTCATCACTAATGATAATAAATGTAGAGTTGGTAAATTACTCAACAGTATAACTTCTTCTGGACACTAGCACCTAAAGGAAGGATGGAAAACTCCCCCATTCACTAACTTGTCAGAAAATTAACTCTCATGTGATTAACAAAGTAATTTTTAAACTACATTAAAAAGCCAGTCATTATTTTTATTTCCCAGGACAGAAGGGAAAAAAAAAAAAAAAAAAAAAAAAAAAAAAAAAAAAAAAAAGGCATTCTGGATCAGACCAGAGATATATCTAGCCCAGCATCCACTGCTAACACTAGGATCCTTAAAAAGAACACAGCACTTCTACGGAAGGTTTAAGGTACTACCACACTTGCCACACCACAGTGTACATCACATGTATGGTCTAAACTGACAGGTTTTGTTCTGTTTATTTTAAACTTTCCAGAGAAGCCAGAAGCAGCAGTGGGACTATGTGGCCAGCAGGGGTCATTTTCATCAGCTGTTCTGCTCTGTATCTGGCCAGATACAAAGGGAAGAATCAAACTGGACCAGAAGAAAATTGCAGAGTGTGTGCTCTTTCTGTATATAAGCAAAAGGTATGGAAACAGATAGATGTTCTCCCTGGATAAACATTAAATAGCTACTGATTTTTACATTGTGAACCTGTTCACTGCCTTTCAGGACCTTTTATGTTTTTGGCTTCCACAAAGCCACAACATTACAGAACAGATCACCTTTCAAAAGATCAGGTGGTCAAATCTCCTGCTCAAACAGGAGTAACTGAGATCAGACTGCTTGTAGTCTTGTCCAATTGAGTTGTTAATGAGTGTTTTCAAAGGCTGAAGTTTCTGCTATCTTTCTGAACAATTTTCCCAATGTCCGATTAACCTCACTGTAAGGAAGGGGGAAAATTTCCAAACATCTCATCAGAATTTTTAGTGTTGCAACTTCCGTCTGTTGCCTCTCATCCTTGGCAGCTGTATGATTGAGAAGACCGTCTTCCTCCTTTGCTAAACCTCCCTATCAAGTCACTGAAAACAGCAACAACCCTGTCCTTCTTACCCTAAAACTGAAGAAACCCAATCTCTCAGCCTTGCCACGTACAGCATTTGATTCAGCCTTCTAACCATCTTGGAGACCCTCAATTGGATCCTCTCTAGTATGTGAGTATCTGGGATGAATCCCAAACCAGACACAGTAATCCACACATAGTCTTAATGGTGCCAAGTAGAGGTGAAGAATCTCTTCTACTGACCATATAGATACACATATGCTAATACAGCCCAGTATGCAACAGTAAATTTTACAGAGGTATCTTTTCATATTCTTCTGAGCAAAGTGCAAGGGGAAAAGAAATCCGATTACTTTAAAGAACAAAAATAATCTTTTCCTATTCAACTTTACATAATATTTACTATTTTATGACTTTTAACATATCCCTTTTCTCCCCCACCTCTTGCATATAATTTCTATGCTAAAGTAGTCTGCTTTTAAAGGTATAGCTGCTGTTTCATATTTTTGACCATCACTGGAGATGTGTTATTACACATTTTGAGATAGATGAAACAAACTACACCATTATTCAAAACTTGCAGACATCATTAGCATGTTTGCTCTTTTGCTCCAAAAGCCTTTACCAGCAATTTCTCACAATATGTGTATCTTTTTTAGTCACTACTGTGCTAGCAGTTTTTTCCTGTGACATATTTTAAAATCATCATAGATATTTGCTCTGTTTAGATTTACTCCCCTCATCCACCATGGGGATTCCATTGCATTTATCAATTTTAAAATGTCTAGCCTTAGTCAAAATAACAAATTTCCTTCAACAATGCTTTCCAGTTAAGCTTTAGTTTTAACTACCCTGAGTAATGTAGTTTTATGAGCAAACTCTGATCTGAGAGATATCAGCAAGATAACATTTATGAAAATGGTGACACCATATCCCAAGCACAGATCCCTTAAGACATCTTCCAACTCATTAGTCTACCCCATTGTTAAAACTGACCAATTATTTTTAGGCCTTTGTTTTCAAAGTTAAAGTTTTAGAGACTTTTTCAACAGTGTTTTTGCTTTAATAAAAGCATATCAAATACATACTTCCTAAATGTCATACAAATAGCACATGCCTTTTGTTGTCACACGGGCTCTTTGCTGCTACACAGCATTTTTCCATGTGCCTACTATTATTTTCTTTACTTTTCTATACCCGGAACACACACAGCTTTCCATGATCTCTCCCCACCTTCCCCCCACTGCACAAGTACTCTTGGTTCCTTTCATGACATATGAGCTCACAATCTGCAACTAACAAATAAAATAAAAAGTGGCCAACAGAAGCCTACAGACACAGGTTTGAATCTGTTCCATATTGCTGCCTTTCTCAAAAAGCTTATATTATATTCACTTAAAAAAAAAAAAAAAGCAACTAGCACTGAGCTGAAGCTACCAGTCCCCCAACAGCATTAACCGCCACTAACTACAGCTACTGGTAATAGTAGTTTAGGATCCCTCGAGGAAACTGTGAGAAGCTTTAAGTGTTGCAAACAATCCCAATTTTTCCACCATGCCAGGCCCACAATAGATGCAACTTGGGGACTGACATCCCCTCCTTCCTCAACTGATGCCTAAGCCAAAAATTATCCCCAAAAGTAAAGTCTGTAAAACTGTGCTATGAAAGCAGTTTACCAATAGAATGATAGAAAGTTTACCAATAGTATGACAGGAGAATCCAATAAATAATTACACGACTCCCCCACACATCTGAATTTCAGTTATCCAAATACAGTTTTCTCAAAATCAGTACTTAGAAGTAGGTTTGAACGCATATATGATGGCACGTAGCCTGACCACTTCTGTTGCATGCAGTAATGGTGTACAGATTGGTGGTTTCAAAGGGAAGTTATTTGACCACTCCTGCTATAGCTGCCTCAGACCATTTCCTGGGATAAGTAACCCTGACCTTCTCACAATGGAAAGATCCCAAAGTACAGTACTTTATAAATACTTTAGGTGTGGTGGTGCAACTCCTGCCACGCCCCCGGGGCCACATACCAACCTGAGGAGATAATTACTGCTGATGGCAGTAAACAAAGAGTTAAGACACCCCTTTGAGGAGCCTGGCTCGGCCTTCCTGGGAAGGGTTACAAAGGCCCATCGCCACCTACCGACATGGGAGAACAGTAACAGAACTGCACACTCATCTACTTCTTGGCAACTGGCCAGAACACCTCACTGTCCGAGGTGACAAAAGTCAATTATCTGGAACCCTATAAACAGGTGCCCCAAAGTGAGACCCTTTGAGCTCTCCTGGATGCAGCAGGCCTGTGACCAACATCTCCCCTGAGCTGGGATGCCCCCCCAGACATTAACTCCTTGAGGGACCGTCCACTGACAGAGCCAACAGAAGGCCAAGGCAAAGCTGACCCACTCAAGTCTCAATTATTGCCCGTTGAGGAATGCCAAGGCATTGTGAGTATACACTCTAAACTCCAGAAGGAAATTTTAACTTGGAGCTAGCTTCTCCCTCACCCACCCACACTCTGCTTACCGATGTGTTCAGGTATACACATTTATTCTCACAAGTGTGGGGACATACATATTTTACTAGATCCAAATATTTTGTGTGACTGTATGTTTTGCATTTGAACGTGTTTGTGTATTATGTATAGATTTACCATATAGTAAGTTAGTGTGAATCTTCGAATCTGTAGTTAAGTCACTATTTCGATCATAACATATTTTACCGAATTATTTTGCAAACCTTTAAACTGGTTAATGATTAAGTACTGCTAGTCATTAATAAATCTTGATTTGCTAAATCGTTATCATATTAATAATTTAATCCACAACACTAGGAGCTTAAACTTCCAAGCTGTTTACAGTCAGTTCAAGTTTCTACATACACTGACAGCATTAGTACCATTCTCAAAAACTTCACAAATAGGTATAAGCAAACTTCTGACTAGGAAGAGGTATGGCGCTGGTCACGACAAGGACAGACTCTGAAGGGGTATTTAGCATAGTTGTCTCGAGGGTCCCCTGGTTTTACAGCCTGGTCTAAAGCAGGAAAGCAATGAGAAAACATAATGAGTTCCGTGAAAGAATCAGGGGAAGAAGTACACACTCATGCTGATGCGGTGTGGTTTCTCTGGTTCACAGGCATGTAATCTGGTTAATTTCTCTAAGCAGAGATGAAAAAACACTCAAACTGATGAGCCCATAGCATATTATTTCATACTGCAAATGCAATGCAACGCAACTTGACCACCTTATCACAGAAAAATCACAGGGCTCTAATTTTTGGTTTTTTTTTTTTTCCTTTTCTTTTCTTAAATACATGCTATCCTACCTGTAGAAAATTACTTGTGTTTTTGGAGAAAAATGTAAAAGTCAACAAGTAATACTGATCCAACAAAAGATATTCAATGACATGAGAAACCCACAACACTTAGAAAGCTGATTTAGTTATAGTAATTTAAATGTTTTTTAAATGTTGGTTCTAACCAAGTGTGTGCTAAGAGTTAACAGATTACATCTGCATTCACAATATCAAAATTTAGTATCAGAGGAACTGGAACAAAAGATGTTGTCCATAGCACTTAAACCAAGTAGTAGCATATAGAATTTCTTGGAAATTGAGGAGGAGGTGCTCTATTGCACTACAATTCTATAATCTACTCAAGATATACTCTAAAAATGGAAAAAACAAAATGTAATTGAAATCCGGCTGAGAGATAACAGACCACTATTTTATTTAAAAGGGTATGCCTTTCTTTGTTCTTGTTTGCAAAACTTCATGTAAGACATTAAATAGTACAGATGAATATTGCTGTAACGGGACCTACTGGAAAAATAGCTAAACTGCTTATAAAACAAAAC